GGTGAAAGAGGCTTATTTCTTTCCACTTAGGTAAACATCTAAATAGGATTATTCGGTTGTTATGCTGGTAGGTTGTTCTGCAATGGACATTGAGTGAGTGAAGCACAGCCGCTGGGGCTGATTGTAGGCAAGGTCAAAGGTTCTAACAGATTCCTTTGGGGCTACTGAGTTCCAGTCCAGCCAAAGTACCTATTTCTGGGCTTCAAGTGGCAAATCCGAGCCAGTTCTGTCTCAAGCCACATCTGTGTCTGGTGACTAGGGTGGCGGGACCACAGAGCGGAACTGGGTTGGTTCTATCAGTCATTCCTGTTGGTCCAGGAATCCAATTTCCCACTCTACTGGCGGAGGGCCAACAGGATTTTCAGTACGTCCTTGCAACCCACAGCTATAAATACTGCAGGCTGCAGTGTCTATACCTTTACCCACACACCCTCCTCCAGTGTATTAGCTAAATAAATAAAATTAAAATTAAAGACAACATAGCTGTGTCATCTACTCTATCCAAGGGGTAACCCATTCAACTTGTTCATTCAGGAGGGAAATGAACCCAAGCAAAAGACAGAAAAGGCCAAAGGTAAAGTGCAGTATAAATGGCACATATGCAAGTTGAGTGGCTTATTTTCACTATGAGCTCAGCAGAAATTCTACTGGAGGCACATTTAGAATTCAGTAGAGCACAGGGTATTTAAGATGCCATTTGCATTTTGACAGCTTAGAAATGTCTACACTGGATTTGCTGTATCCTCGGCAATGAGAGCTCACCGGCCACAGAAGCTGTGCTCTATTTCTTAAAGGAAGCTCAACCATTTTCTTGACATTTTCGAGGCTCTGTTGGTGTTTGTTTGAGACAATGAACTGGAGACTGAGGAAGCATTGCCCCCAGGAGGAGCTGGGCTTGCCTGGAGGAACTTCTCAGCTCTGTAGTTCTGGCGGCTTCAGATCGGGCACAGTGGGCCCACTGAAAGGCAGCGGAGTCCCTGTGGCTCGGGGCCTGTGCCAGGCGTGGTGGGGGGGTGGGTGAGGGGATCCT